ACTTGTAGTTGGGGGTTCTCTTGTGGTCCCTTCTTGATTTACCAGGTGCCACAACTCCTCTAGGGAGTTCTGTTTTAATCCTTACAACCACTTTGCACGAGAGGGATTAATGTCTTCCATTTTGCAGCTAGTAAGTGACAGAGCTAGAATCTGAACTCCAGCCTTCTTACTCCAAGGTCATTCCTTTTTTATCATTACATCTCAACCCCAAGACACTGCAAAGAATGATACTCAGTCAGGGAGCTGGGCAGGGCTGAAAAGCGGGAGTCTCACTGAGGAACACTGATTTCCTCCTGTGAATGGCCCCTCAGGTTTGTAGAGCCCTTTCCTTCATATTTCAGTGCCACCTTCTAAAACTCCTGTGACACTGGGAGGACTGTGATCCTCATTGGACCTATGAAGAGACTGAAGCTTAGCAAGATGATGTGCCTTCCTTCAGGGCGTTAGAATAGTAGGTGGCAGAGCTAGAGCTAGAACCCAGGTCTCCTGAGTCTTCCATATGTTCTTTCATTGACATGATAGCCGGTTTAGAGAAGTGCCTCTTCCGGCAATTCCTTCTCTTTAAATAGAAAACTCTGCAATGTATAGAAGAGAAAACCCCAAAATGCAAAGATGCATATAACAAATAGCTCAAAATTATCACTGATCAGAGACATGCAAAATTAAAGAATAATATGATAGCCCTTTATACCCACCCATTAGACTGACAGTGATTAGAAAACTGGCTATGGCCACATGTTGACAGGAAGAGGGATACATAGGCACACCTCTGTCCTGCCTGTGGAAGGGTCAATGGAGCAGCTATTCAGGAGAGGACGCTGGCACTATTTAGTCAATCAACTACGCACATACCCCAGGACCCAGTGATTTCACTCTGAGTACATGCCACAGGGAAATGCTCACACAGGTCTAAAAGGGGACATATGAGAGGATATGCTGTGAGCGTTGTTTTTGGTGACTGGGACGTAGAGGCTCCCTGGGCAGGTATGCCTAGGAAAGCAGAGAAAGAAAATGTGGACATCCACCACGGGGAATTATGCAACAATTAGAAACAGTGGAGTTCTTGCATACTTAGCAATATGAGCATACTTAAAACAAAATTATAAGCAGAATTTTATACACATACACACACACAGGTACATACCTGTGTATATGTATGTATAAAAGTAGGAAGGAAGGCAGGAAGAGAAGAGATAAATCTTGCCTGGCTTAGGTCTTGGAAAGCAAGAACCTCTCTCTCTGTCTCTTCCTCAGTAGCCAGCAAGAGGCTGGGCACAGAGTGGGTATGTGTACTTGTTTGCTGAATGAATGAACACAGTGCCTAGAGCCAGCCTCACTGAATTATCCAGTCGTTTTTATGACCACATCTTAGAATCCCTGGGTATTGGCCAACCTGCCACTACCAGCTTGAGAGCGCTACACTTTGTTCCATCAGAATGATGGAAGTGAGACAGGATGGTAGGGTCTGTATTGAGTACCTGCTATATGCCAGGGCTGGGATCTTACAAATTAGAAATTATTATTCCAAAGGTCAGAAGACTGAAAATTAGAGTTGATTTGCTCAGAGTTATCTAGCTGGATCAGAATTCAAATCAAGGTCTGACTTACTCCAACGTCCTTTATTCGTCCATTTCTTTTTATTAGACTGCACTCAGCCCTTGAGGGACAGTAGGAGGAGGCATTTCAATCTTCTTTCTTCAGCCCTACCTCTAGAGCAGTGCTGCTTCCACAATTTTCAGGGCCCAGGCAGGGGAACATGGGTCATTGTTTACTCTGAGGCATGAGGGATTTTAGTCACCCTGAGTTTATCCTAGTTACACTCTCATTTCTTATTTTCCTGCCCAGCTCTCCTCTCCCTAGGTCTGTATTACAGCAGCCTCCAGACTGGTCTTCTTATCCCCATTTTGTACCCTCCCCCCTTTCAAATTCAGCCTGCTTAGCAATTAGATTAATTTTATAATTTTTTTTTTCCCCAAAACCTTGAATGACAACCTCACTGCCTTTGGTGGGAAGCTAAGGAATGCCAGGTAGGTTTTCTCTCTGTTGCTAGCCTCAGTGGATTGATGGTGACTGATTGGAACCTGTTTTGAAGAGCATTCTGAGGCTGTTTCAAAGGCTCCACAGCAAGAGCTGCTGGGAGAGATGTGCGATATGCATCTTAGACGTGGGAGTGCAGGGCAGTAGCATGCATGCCAGGAATCTGTCAAACCTTTAGACTGAGCTTTCATCCTAGGGTCCATTACTGATTTCATGGGGGCTGTGAACACCTAATCATTATATGTAAAAAAAAAATTTTTTTGAGTGTGTGTGCTCGTACGCACTTTTCTGGAAGAAATTTGATCACAGTCACAAAAGAGCCCATAGCTTAAACCAGTTTATGCCCACTGCCTTGGCCTCCTAGTCGGACATTTGAGGCCCTGTGTTGCCTCTGCATACCTCAGCAGCTGTTTCTCTGCTGTGAACTGTCACCCAGATGGAGCTGCCTGATGGTCTCTGAATGTTCCTTTCCTGCTTCGCAGTCATATCCTGTTTCTTGCCTTGATTGACATGCACTTCCTTCCACTTCTCTAAACTCTTCCCCTTCTTCAAGACACAATTCGTTTGTTCCCTCCGAAGCCTCTGATTTACTTCAGCCTATCCTGATTTTCTAGCCTTTTAGACTGAGGGTCAAAGAAGTGAGGCCATCCCAATTAGGATGATAGTTAAGATCAGAACCATGCGCTCTCTACTGTATCATGTGGCCTGCTAAACAAGGAGAGGAGATTCTGTAAATTAGATAGGGTTCTTGGCCATAGAAAATGGTTTCTGCACAATAGACTGGATAGGGAAAATGTGGCACATATATACCATGGAATATTATGCAGCCATCAAAAACGATGAGTTTGGGTCCTTTGTAGGGACATGGATGAACCTGGAAACCATCATTCTCAGCAAACTGACAGAAGAGCAGAAGATCAAACACCTCATGTTCTCACTCATAGGCGGGTGTTGAACAATGAGAACACATGGACACAGAGAGGGGAGCACTACAC